CACAAAAATAAATAAAATCAGTTTCATTCATATATATATAAAAATAAATAATAATAAAAAAATGAAGCTGCACTTCAGGGATAAAATTGAAAAGCTACTTAAAATATACTGCTGTTCACTTTGAGCAGGGAATTATATCTCCCATATCAAATTAAGAAAAATGCCAAGACCTGCCTATTCTGAATGTGCTGCTATGGCACAGCAGGATATCAGCACCAGCACTTTCCACTGATGATTAGGTCACCCTGTGGTTTTCTGAGGAATTGTGCATTTAAGTTTTCAATTCCTCATCCAATAAACACGACATCAATAGCCACAATAACAGTGGAGATACACTTATACACCTTCTATTAATTACATGATCAATTCATCGGCTTAAAAATATCGACAGGCCAAGAAAATGGACCTTTTGGCACAGTCTTATATCACAGCTGCTAATATGGGCTGCTACAAGAAAGCTTTTAACTGCACTAATTCATTAACCAAATGATCTATTTACCACTACTACTACTACTAACTCCCATGCTTAGCAATTTGGAGGATACCTGGTATCTGATTGTTATAAGTAAGGGGGTGAGATTTCTCCAAATTCAATGTTTTATTTCCTACCCCCAAATTGAACAGCAGTTCTTGTCTAGGGATTCAAGGTCACTATGGCCTGCAATGACAGTTTGTGTCCCCACAACTACAGTGTTCTCTAAACCAGACTAAATGGGAGCCATCTAATACTTATACAAATAGACTCTGCCTAAGTGAGTTTTGTGTTCACAGCACTGAATTACTGTGTATAGCTGTAAGAGCGATACTGGAAGTATTTAATTAACGATTAATCTGAAAAATAATTTTACTGCTTGTTAATCAAATTCTTTATTAATTATGACCACCCACATAAAATCTGCTGGACAAAGTGATTAAGTATACCAGCAAGAACACAGACGGGGCGGGGGGAACTGCCAATATTTTAGTAAAAAGGGAAATACAGAGATGTGAAAAAAAATAATGCAAGGAAAAGTATTTCTTCCAAAGAGAAAGATTATACCATGCTTAAAGATACAGTTAGTAAAAAAGGCTTTGCCGAAAAGAATGCAACATGAAGGAAAAACCTCAATGAAGCTGGATGTTAGCACCACATTATTGCTTAGATTTATTTATTTAATTTATTCATCACACGTATATACATTTGACAGGTTAGGGATAGAAGCATGAGGCCGATGGAACTGGTACATGCTTGAGGCCAATTCTACGATGCAACTGCTGTTACTCACCTGTTCAGTAATGTTTACTGATTATTAATCAAATTTATACGCTGCCCATCTCATTGTATGAGTGGCTTACAAATAAAAAGCGATAAAAACGATAAAAGTCTTTACAAAAATATGCAAAGTTAAAAGATGGAGAGAGCCCCCTTGAGCCCCCAGCCACCCCCAGTGTTGGGAACCCTCACTGGATCCCCAAGCTAGTTGGCAGAGCCAGGTCTTCATGCTCTTCCAGAAGGCCAGAAGAGTGGGGGCCAATCTCACCTCGGGTGTTCCACAGGGTGGGGGCAACGGCAGAAAAGGCTCTCCTCCTAGACCCCACCAGCTGAAATTCTTTAGCCGACGAGGTCTGTAATATGCCCTTCCTGCCGGACCAGGTAGGAAGGGCCGACGTAACTGGAATGACACAGCTCCTCAGGTAACCTGAGCATATGCCATGAAGGGCTTTAAAAGGCATAACCAACACCTTGAATTGGACCCAGAAGCAAATCAGTACCCAAAGCAGCTCACGCAGCAGAGGTGTTACATGCGTAGCCCTAGAGCACTCATAACTGCCCACGCCACCACATTCTGCACCAGCTGCAGCTTCCGGATACTTTTCAAGGGTAGCCCCACGTAGAACGCATTGCAGTAGTCTATATGGGAGATGACCAGGGCTTGAGTGACTGAAAGAAGGGCTTCTTGATCCAGGAAAGGGCGCAACTGGTACACAATGTGGAGTTGAGCAAAGGCCTTCCTAGCCACGATTGCCACCTGCTCCTCGAGCAGGAATGATGAGTCCAGGAGGACCCCCAGGTTATGCACCGGGTCCATCTAGGGCAGTGCAACCCCATCCAAGACCAAAGATGGTTAACCCCCAGATACAGAAGAGTCCCTCACCCACAGCCACTCCATCTTACCAGGATTCAGTTGAAGCCTGTTGTTCCCCATCCAGATCCCCACAGCCTCCAAGCACCATGAAACAACATCCATAGCATCACTTAATTCACCTGGGATGGAGATTGTCTTTTAAGAAGTGCACAATTCATGAAATTTTCTGAAAGTCAGCGCTAATCACAGCCTGCTCTAGTTAGAAGAAATAAGAACATATAACTAGAGCAACTTGAACAAATAACTGCAGCTTAATAATAAAGCCCCCTTTTTAAAATCATACGATTATCAAACCCAATTATTACTCCCTTTCTTACGCATACTAAAAACAGTCAAATGAACCTATAACCTCACAAATTCCCCTTGAATTACGCTTCTCTCGGCTATTAAAATGAATCTATAGCCTCCACCTGACAAAGACCAATAGTCCAGATTTGGTTCAAGAATCAATTAGTATCAAATGTTTATTTTCCTCTGGCTTTTAAGCATCTTGCTTACCGAATGGCTATAAGAAACTCAAAAACTTGCAACTATTATAAAACTTCAGCTGGCCTAACAAAGGTGTTTCCTCAGAGAAAAACAATAAAAAAGAGTGTAGCCAGGATGACTGAATATCCAATTCTCAGATTAAAAACCCCAGAAAACAAATTTGAGGGTGCCCAAAAATTTAAAAACTTACCTTTAAGAATGAGAAACGTCTTCCAGTTATGGTTAAACTGCTTCATTCCAGTTTATTTTAAGTGGTTTTGATATCAATGTAGCCTTTCCCTCTATCTAAATAGCTTTTCAACCAAAAGTCATGAGAAAAATGATAGCTTAATTGTTAACTCGTGGTTAAAATCAGTTCAATTATAAACTCATGAGCTTCTTGGAGAAATCTGGAAGGGAATATCATCTGTGCTGAAGCTTTGTAGCAAATACCTTTTACTTCCCAAAGGCTTAACTACTTTTATGGAACTCCAATTAAAACACTGTAAAAATGATAAACAAGGACAGTTTTCTTTTGTTTATTTAACCTGTACGATATTGGCCATTTCAGGTTTACTAACTTAGTGCATTTGAACTTAGCATCAAATGGTGAAGAAAAATATAAATAAGGGCTGAACATCTAGTCTATTGCGTTTATACAACAACTACTCTGTAACTATGATAATTTAGACTGCTTGAAGTATCAACATCCGCTCCAGCTGACAAGAGGTAATAACAATCATTTTAGATTGTTCATGTTATGAGATACATCTTCCCTTTACTACTTGCAATGCTCACGCTAAAAAGCATTACGCATACTAGCAGAAATGCATTCTATTTTTAACATTACCTGTTATATTGCCCTATACATGGTGGAAGGAGATTACAATGCTGTCTCTGGATGATCAGGGTGCAATGCAGGAAAACACAAGACAACAATGCATTGTTCAATCAGGTCCTATACACGCTTATTCTGTTATCCTAATGTATTTGGTGGATGGACTCAATTACAGTGGCGATGGAGGCACTGTTGGAAGACTTGAAGGACCAGGTTAATTGTCATGGAGAAAATCTATCTGTGTGCTCGCTAAGAGTTGACACTGACTGATGGGACATAATCAATGAATCAACCTATGTATTTTAATAGTCTTACTTCCTAATTTAGCATAGGAGGGTAGCCTTTGAATCCTATCTAAAAACATTCTTAGTGTTAAAAAGGCACACCTTAACAGCCAAGTCTTTCTCTCTTTTTTTCAGCTGTAACAGCAGAAATCATTATATACCCAAGCTGGATTTTTAACACTGCCACCTTGAACATACCAGTCTTTTAAAAGTTTCTCTAATCTCTTTCTTACAATCTGGCTTCTTCTTTAAACTGACATCATTACCAGCCACATTATTGTTTTAAGCTGCACCCTTCAGTTCCCTTCAGATAATGGCTTTTAATTATCAGGTCTAACAGTCAGAGACAGACAGATGAGTACAAATGATCATCACCCAATTTTAGATGGGCCGTGTACAAAGTGCACTACTTGAGACATTCTTCAATTTTTAGATTTTACAAACGTTTTTCTTCCATACTGTTACTGGCCAGCAGTATAGTTATGAACAAAAGCTGCTAGGATTCAAGCCTACAGAAACTGTTTCAGTGTACAGTACTTAGTTTACATCCCCTTCCTTTCTCCAAAAAAATATTTTTAGTAGGCTTTTAAAAATTATATTGTTGTAAAATATACATAAAGAGCCAGTTTAGTGTAGAGGTTAAGGCACCAGGCTAGAAAGTGGGAGACCATGAGTTCTAGTCCCACCTTAGGCACAAAGTCAGCTGGATGATCTTCAGCCAGTCCCTCTCCCTCAGCCCTAGGAAGCAGGCAATGGCAAACCACTTCTGAAAAACCTTGCCAAGAAAACTGCAGGGACTAGTCCTGGCAGTCTCCAGGAGTCAAAACTGACTCAAAGGCACAAAAACAAACAACCCCCCCTATACATAATACATTATATTATTTCATATGGTGGTATTTGTACAATACTGACTAAAGATTCTTAGCACTCTGTTTAAATAACTTAGACCACTAAAGATAGGAAAAAAGGTATCATATCAGTATTAACTATGATTTAAATTGTCAGTGTTAACAGAGTTAGGGTTAAGAAATTAAGCCTCTACAGGTCACCCCACCCTTACCCTTTTCTTCCCCTAATAACAAATAGCCCAGTCAATTTCCTGGCTAAGGGGAGAGATGAGTTTGCCTCCCCGCTCTTCACCCATGGGGCTGGGTTCCCATAACAAGCTTAACCAAGCTTGCTGAGCATTCAACTTCTTGTTGGATTGTGGATTGCTATGTTGGCTTAATAAATTGCAGGAACTCCACCCTTCTGGTTAGCTGGGAGTTGGGCAGCATATACATTTTAATAATCGTCATCGTCATCATCATCATCCTATCCCAGGCCCTTGGGAAGGACTCGAGAGGTGGATAAAAATGCCAAATCCCATCTAAACATCTGGCTGACTGTGCGTCCAACCATAATAATAATAACAATTAGCTTGTGATTCAAAGCATGGTGCAAATGGGTTCCTTCAGAAGCCGGCTGTCGTGCAAACTCACAGATACTTAAACAGGATCCCAGACACTGGCAGGCGGCCGTTTGCTGATGCTGAAGGCAGGCGGGCACTCTGGTTATGCTCAAGGACACTCTCGCCCCGCAGGGAGCCACGGGATGAACGGGGAG